CCCCCCCCCCCCCCCCCCCCCCCCGAACAGGAAAACTACCTCCCAGACTGACCAGGGTGCCTAGTGACTGCAATGTGTGTGTGACCTTCTGCTGAACCTGCCCCCATGTCTGTACCCTGGTAAAGGTGACTGTCCTCTCCAATTAACAACCCCCTTCCCCCCCTTCAAACACACTGTCCTTTAAAAGAACATGACTGAAACAGTAATTAACAGAAACGTATTTTTTATTAACAACTACACAGTTAGGGGATGAAACTGGGACGGGGGCTTGGGTGAGATGCTTTTGGAGTGAAGGAAAGGACTTATCAAATCTTTGGGAATGAGAGCCTTCTGTTACTTGAGCAGTCTGCAGGGGTGGAGTGACTGTTTTCACGGCCTCTGCCGTCCCTCCTTCTTGGGACTTTGGGTGAGGGGGGGATGAGACTTTGTGGCGTGGGAGGGCGGTTAGAGAGAGAATGCAGCTGGGCTCTGTCCTCCTGCCTCCGGTCCTGCAGAACATCTACAAGGCGCCGGAGCGTGTCGATTTGCTCCCTCATTAGTCCAAGCAGCGTTTGAGTCGCCTGCTGGTCTTCCTGCCGCCACCTGTCCTCCCGTTCGCTATGTGATCACTGGTATTGCGACATGTTCTGCCTCCACTGGGTCTGCTGTGCCGCCTCGGCTCGGGAGCAGCCCATAAGTTCTGAGAACATCTCGTCCCGTGTCCTTCTCTTTCGTCGCCTGATCTGCGCCAGCCTCTGGGAGGGGGATGCCGGGGTAGCTCGGGAGACACTCGCAGCTGTGGGATGGGAAAAAGGGAGTGAATTCCTCAGAAAGATACAATTTTGCGAACAATGAATATAGTCTTTCTCTATGAACAAGACCATGCACAGCACCTATCACATGCGCACTCAGTACAAGGTCGAATTTTCGGCCTTCCCATTGAGTGCCTGGGGTTTTGCTGTACAGATCACACAAGCGGGGCTGGACAACGGAATTCGGCTAGCAGGCGGACATGGTAAGCCGTAGACTTTTGGCTGCTTAAAGCTTAATTTATAGCAATGCTCCTAGCGTTGGCCAGTTCCTGCTGCCGGCAATCCGGCCAGCATGAACTCTGCCCCTGTCCCACCCCCTTCGCGGCTGTCCCCGGGAAAGATCCCTGCATGCTGCCCCTGTCATGCCTCCACCGTGTGGCTGTAAACGGCCGGTTACAGTTATGTAAAGGAACAGGCAATCAGTCCCAATACTAACATTCCCCTAATTCAAAGCAGGTCACTATGAGTGATATCACTCTGATGAGGATTTCGGAGACAGAGAAAGACCACATGCTGCGTGAATGCCAGCAAGCACCAGGGCCGTATGCCGCCATGCTTTGCGAGGCAATGATCCCGGAGTACTTGCTGCTAGCCTGGCGCGGAAAAGTTTCCTACCATGGAGGACGCAATAAGGCCGCTCTCCCCAGGAACCTGATGCAAAGGCTTTCACAATACCTCCAGGAGACCTTCGTGGAGATGTCCCAGGAGGATTTCTGCTCTATCCCCGGACATATTGACAGAATTTTCCAGTAGCTGCACTGGCAAGAACTAAAAACTAAAGCGCCTAGGGCAAACTAATCATGAAAAACCCATTGTTAAGATACCATTCCTATTCTGTTCAAAATAAATGTTTAAAACACTTACCTACTGATGTTTCCCCTGATTCACGGTCCGGGTTACCGCCTTGGGAGGGTTGGTAGGGGATCTCCGTGAGGGTGATGAAGAGATCCTGGCTGTCGGGGAAATCAGCGTTGAAAGCGCTGTCGACTGCCTCGTCCTCCTCATCTTCCCCGTCTGCGAACATCTCCGAGGAAGCGGCCGTCGACAATACCCCATCGTCAGAGTCCACGGACAGTGGTGGGGTAGTGGTGGCGGCCGCACCTAGAATGGAATGCAGAGCCTCGTAGAAACGGCATGTCTGGGGCTGGGATCCGGAGCGTCCGTTTGACTCTTCGGTCTTCTGGTACCCTTGTCTCAGCTCCTTGATTTTCACTTGGCACTGCATTGCATCCCGGCTGTATCCTCTCTCTGTCATGGCTTTTAAGATCTTCTCGTAGATCTTCACATTCCGTTTTTTCGATCGCAGCTCCGAAAGCACGGACTCATCGCCCCACACAGCAATCAGATCCAAGACTTCCCAATCAGTCCATGCTGGGGCCCTCTTTCTATTCTGCGATTGCATGGTCACCTCTGCTGGAGAGCTCTGCATCGTTGCCAGTGCTGCTGAGCTCGCCACGATGTCCAAACAGGAAATGAGATTTAAACTGTCCAGACAGGAAAAGGAATTCAAATGTTCCCGGGGCTTTTCCTGTGTGGCTGGTCAGAGCCTCCGAGCTCGGACTGCTGTCCAGAGAGTCAACAGAGTGGTGCACTGTGGGATACCTCCCGGAGCTATTAGCGTCGAATTCCATCCACACCTACCCTAATTCGACATGGCCATGTCGAATTTAGCGCTACTCCCCTCGTCGGGGAGGAGTACAGAAATCGATTTAAAGAGACCTCTATGTCGAACTAAATAGCTTCGTTGTGTGGACGGGTGCAGGGTTAATTCGAGTTAACGCTGCTAAATTTGACATAACCTCCTAGTGTAGACCAGGCCAAAGTCTCAAACTGTAGCACAATGCTGTTGAGTAAACTCACAAGGATGGTGACAGCCAAAAAAGTGCAATTTTTCCTCCTCCCCCCACCCCCCCGTTGGTTTTCAAAATGTAAAACCACTAGGACTGTTTGTATTTCAAGAGGTGTAGCACAAAATCTCAGCACTTATCTTAAACAAATTTGCTGACCTACAGCAGTACCTTAGATCAGTGGTTCTCAACCAGGGGTACGTGTGTACACAGAGGTATTCTAGGAGGTACATCAACTCATCTAGATATTTGCCTAGTTTTACAATAGGCTACATAAATAGCGCTAGAAAAATCATTACAAAATAAAATTTCATACAGACAGTGATTTGTATATAGAGCAGTATAAACTATAGACTGAAATCTAAGTACAATATTTATATTTCAATTAATTTATTTTATAATTTATGGTAAAATTGATAAAGTAAGCAATTTTTTCAATAATAGTGTGCCGTGGCACTTTTATATTTTTATGTCTGATTTTGTAAGCAAGTAATTTTTAAGTGAGGTGAAACTTGGGGGTATGCAAGACAAATCAGACTCCTGAATGGGGAACAGTAAACTGGAAAGGTTGAGAGCTACTGTCTTAGATTATTAGAACTATTTTGCAGAATCCAGTTTTATATATCATTTATGCTGATTGCTTACTGTTCACATTCCTCGCAACTTAGACTTTGAAAATAAATTTCTCAGGTTCAGTGTGGCAATATTTTGGTTGCAAACACAGTTGAGAATTGTTTCCATTACATGGTATTTATGATAACTACTAGTTATACATTTTCATGGAAAAAATAGTTTTGTTTTTATATAAGCATCTAAACATATTTTCCCCCTTTCAGATGATAAAGAGTTAAAAACCGTACAAGGAGTAGTGACAAGATTTTGCCATGATTATGGGATGATTGATGACTTGATTTGCTTCACAAGTGATGCTGTGATGAGCGGTGTGCCACTGAACGTTGGACAGAAAGTCATCGCTGTTGTTGAAGAGGATAAAACATCTAATGGATTGAAGGCGATCAGAGTAAGACATGAATGAGTAGTGCAATTGGTCTAGCATTTTGTATTATGAACTGCCTTTGTAAGGAAACTTCTCTAAAGATTTTTCTGTCTGGATGATTTCTGAAGTAGTTGTTTGTATCACTATGGTCAGGTTGACTTGTCACAGTGCCTTTAATTATTGGGGTCCCACACTACCAAACTTGCATCCAAATTATTCATTTAACCCTTTTTCCAATTGAAGGGATGGGTGGGGTAGGGAATGCCCAAAATGTCAGGGAGAAGAGAAAAGGCTACATTTCGTTGAAATGATAGCTGGACAATATGTAGGACACTAAGCCTCATAATTTTTTTTAATTTCAGTGCCTTGGACACCCCAAATGAATTCCCTGTTTCTGATAGGGCCTTACCAAATTCACAGCTATGAAAAACGCATCATGGCCTGTGAAATATGGTCTCCCACCGTGAAATATGGTCTTTTGTGAGCTTTTATCGTATGCTATACAGATTTCATGGGAGAGACCAGCGTTTCTCAAATTGTGGAGGGGGAGGGGTCCTGACCCAAAAAAAGGGAGTTGTGGGGGGTCACGAGGTTATTTTAGGGGAGTTTCAGTATTGCCACCCTTACTTCTTCACTGCCTTCAGAGCTGGGCAGCTAGAGAGTGGTGGCTGTTAGCTGGGCATCCAGCTCTGAAGGCAGCGTTGCCGCCAGCAGCAGCGTAAAAGTAAGGGTAGCAGTACCACAACTCCCCCTACAATAACCTTGTGACCCCCCCCCCAACTCCTTTTTGGGTCAGGACCCCTACAATTACACTGTAAAATTTCAGATTTAAATAGCTGAAATAATGATATTTATGATTTTTTAAAATTCTGTGACCGTGAAGTTGACCAAAAGGGACTGTGAATTTGGTAGGGCCCTACTGATATAGAAGATTAGGACCTGATCCTGCAATCATTATTTATGTGAGAAATTCTAAGAAGCGTTCTTGTGTTTGCAGGATTGGGTCCTTGATTTCCATGTGCTGTAGGATAATACATATATAGACGGCCCTGATTTTGCAAATGGGCATGGGATTTATGGATTTTGATGTGGGATTCTAATTTAGAAATATAGCAACTGTATAGGAATCACCTTACTGATAGGAAAATGTCATTAAAAATAAAACCAATAGCAAGTAAAAGTATCTTATTGTCTTGTCCCATTACACTGTTTATCAGAGTAACTAAAATTTAAGTAAAATAAGATAATTAAAGATGATTGAGATTTTAGAAATTATAGATGATGAAACAGTTTAAGTATAAGTTTCCCCATGGAGCAGAATAGGAACATGTATCTTCCCTTTATCTTATGAGAGTTGGATCAGTATTCCATTTCTTTTCAAATTTTATTGTTCCTCACCTTCTCCAAAAATGAGTGACACAAACTGAAATAAGGTGAAAGCAAATTGGATTAGGAACTAATCCCAATTGATATAAAATAAACCCTGAGGCACTCATACCTTATTCAGACCTGGGTATTGTTAATAATTGAAATTACCTAATGTTTCTTTAAGGTTGAAAAGTGTATTGGTACTTGTCAATTCATATAACTGTAAATGTATTCATAGGAATATCTTTACCTTCCTATATAAAAATGTATAAGAAGAAAACTTAAATATTTTGCAATAGCTACTGCACAGTGGTATCTGATATATATCCATGTACTTTTATGGCCTACCATACCTTAGCATCTGAATGTTTGTAATGGTTATGGATCTAGTTGCACCTTTGACTCCTCTCTGAGGGTGCCTCTCCCCAAGGTGTTAGGCTTCTTTCATTCACCTGTCCTAGGATGGAATCCCCTGATTTTCCCCATTCTTAGACTGAGTCTTGGGCTACAACCCCTTATATATCAACCCTGATTACTCTACATGTGTGACTGGGCTTAGCACCCATAGCTTCCCTTCTGGAGCTGTTACCAGTGACCAGAAAGCTTTCTTAAAACACTGTTTAATCTCAACAGTAGGCACACAGCACAACATAAGAGAGCGGATTAAAACAATAAAATCATCTATACCAGTGGTTCTCAAACTGTGCATTGGGACCCCAAAGTGGGTCAGGACCCTGTTTTAATGGGGTTGCCAGGGCTGGCATTAGATTTGCAGGGTCCAAGGCCAAAGCCCAAGCCCAACCACCCGGGGTCAAAGCCTGGGGCAGTAGCCGTTGGGCTTCAGTTTTGGCCCCACCAGGCTTTGGGAACCCCTCCTCCCCCCCCCCGCACCCAGGGCAATGGGGTTCGGGTGGGCTAAGGCTTCGGTCCCCCCTCCTTGGGTCGTATACTAATTTTTGTTGTCAGAAGGGGGTCATGGTGCAATGAAGTTTAAGAACCCCTGGTCTATACTCATATCTATCTTCCCTAAGACTTACTATTCCCTAAAGCAGAGGTTCTCAACAGGGGGCCCATGAGCCCTTTCAAGGGGGCTGTGGGGCTCCATGGCTGAAACCCAGAGCCCGAGCCCCAGCGCCCCCCATGGGGCTGATGCTGGGAGGTGTGGGGCTGAAGCCCCGATCCTTGGTGCACACTGCAGGGCTGAAGCCGGGAGGCGTGGGACCAAAGCCCCGAGCCTTGGTGCTCCCTGTGGGGCAGAAGCTCTGAGCCCATGAGCACAGCTGGGGACATGGAGGGCTTTTCCCCTCCTCCCCAAACTACAGAGCAAGAGCATGGCAGTCCTGGGGGCAGCTCCACACCTCTCCCTTCTCTCCCTCACCCCCCCCCCATTTCCTGTCCCCTGGCCAGGTCGGAGGGAATGCATGGAGCATTCCCTCGTATCCTGCTGGTGCCCAAGGTTGAAGCTGCTCTTCAGCTCCCAGCCCCCTTTGCTCCCCCAGAGTCAGCTGGTAAGAGCTGCCTGGCTCCATGGCTGGCAGACCCCTCCAGGAACAGGGACTGCAGGGGAGTCCTCCCAGCACACAGCCCCTCTCCCTACACCCTGAGGTTACACCCACTCTGCACCCTGAGCTACCCCCTGCCCACACACAGCCCCAGCTACCCCCTCCCTGCACCCTGAGCTGCCCCCCTGCCCGCACACAGCCCTAGGCACACTCTGTGTGCAAACAGCCCCAGCTACCCACTCCCTGCACCCTGAGCTACCCCTTGTCTGCACACAGCCCCAGCTACCCCCTCCCTGCACCCTGAGCTGCCCCCCTGCCCGCACTCAGCCCTAGCCACGCTCTGTGTGCAAACAGCCCCAGCTACCCCCTCCCTGTACCTTGAGTTACCCCTTGTCTGCACACATCCCCTAGCTACCTCCTCCCTGCACCCTTAGCTATGTTCAAACTTTTTGAGCTAAGCCCCCCCACCTTTGAGTTTTTAATTTTTGGTTGCACCCTACCCCAACCCAGACAGGCTGGATGGCCTGCTGAGGTGAGGCAGGGGGTGGAGGTGGCACTCCCTCCTGGACCACTGCCATGCGGAGGTGGCTCGAGCCCCGCTGGCCCCTGTCCCCCCACCCCCCAAATAGAAGTCAAACTATGTCTATGTCTAAGGCCTGAGCCCCCCTTCCTCCCTTGGAGTTTTTATAGCATGTCGAGGGGCGATTCAGAGAGAAAAAGGTTGAGAACCCCTGCCCTAGAGCTTTGTAAGGCCTGACTGCTTCAGGCCTCCTTCATCGGGCCTGCCTGGGTCTTTCCGTGCCAACCTGTTTTGTTCTTCTGTGAAGAAGTGAACAGCTCACTGACAACACTCACACCCTCCAAAAGTACTTTTTTTTTTTTTTTATTTTTTTTTTTTTTTTTATTTTTTTCCAAGGCTTGTTTAAAAAAAAAAAATCTTGTAACTCAGCTGGCACCTGTAAGTAGTGCCTTTTCAGCTTAATATTTCACACATTGTTTCTTAGCCCCCTTGAAATGTTCACCAGGTTACTTATCCAGGGCCGTTGTGTTGCCTTCCTCCTAATTTCTTAACAGCCTTGCTATTAAATTAAACACATATGTACACACAGTAAACATTCCAGTGACCAGTTACTGAGTACCTATAGCAGGGGTAGGCAACCTATGGCACGTGTTCCGAAGGCGGAACGCAAGCTGATTTTCAGTGGCACTCACACTGCCTGGTTCCTGGCCACCGGTCCGGGGGACTCTGCATTTTAATTTAATTTTAAATGAAGATTCTTAAACATTTTAAAAACCTTATTTACTTTACATACAACAATAGTTTAGTTATATATTATAGACTTATGGAAAGAGACCTTCTAAAAACGTTCAAATGTATGACTGGCACGCGTAACCGTAAATTAGAGTGAATAAATGAAGACTCGGCACACCACTTCTGAAAGGTTGCTGACCCCTGACCTATAGTATCTCAAAAAGAACAGGAGTACTTGTGGCACCTTAGAGACTAACAAATTTATTTGAGCATAAGCTTTCATGGGCTACAGCCCACTTCTTCAGATGCATAGAATGGAACATATAGTAAGGAGATATATAGGGTTACCATCCGTCCGTTTTTCCCCGGACATGTCTGGCTTTTGCATCTCTAAATAGCCGTCCGGGAGGAATTGGTAACAAGGTTAAAATGTCCAGGGTTTTTTTCTCCCTCGCCTCCCTTCCATGCAGAGTGCGGCTGCTGATTGGGCGGCTGGGCCGATTGAGCCACTCCCATTGGCCTCCAGCAGCCAGAGCTTTCCCCTGCTCCCCCCCTCTCTCTGTCTGCAGCCCTGTGTAACACACAAACCGACCCACCGGGCAGCGTGTTTTGCCTACACGTGGAGCCAGAATGGTAAGGGGAGTCTGGGGGGGGGGGGCAGTCAGGGAGCGGGGGAGGGTTGGCTGGGTCCCCGGCCTCCACGCGTCCCCCCCGCCGTGGACCCCTCCCTCCCTGCCTCTCTCTTGCCTGCTTGTACTGCCAGAGCCAGCAGCAACTGCTGTCTGCTGCCCCCGGGTCCTAGCGTCCCCCATCCACTAATGGGAAGACAGGCTGCCCTTACCCTGCCCTTCCACCCTAGCCCTGAGCCTCTCCAACACCCCAAACCCCTCATCCCCAGCCCT